CCTTGAGAACTGGTTCTGGTGGGGAAGGGGAAGAGGGAAGAGTTGTTAGGGCCTCCAGTTTCCCAGCCTCCCTTGCAGTTCCACATGGCTGGGTGGAAAGTTCTGGTCAATGGGGCTGAAGAGTGATTGTTGAATAGGATTTGTAGAAAGTCTCCTTTGAATGGAGCAGGAAGATGGGAAGAGTCCATTTGTCCTTCTTTCCTGCTTCTCGGAACACGGACATGATAGTTGGGTATAAGGTCACAAGTAACTGAGGGGGGATGAGGTAGGTTCCCTGATGACTTAGAGGTTTTGCCAGGCCAGGCCAGACTGTCACCTCTGGACTTCTTTTAAGGGTAAGATAACCAACTCTGTGTGTCCCCTTTTGTTACTCTTGGGTTTTCCTAACTAATCAGTCTTGACTGATGCAAGCTTCCCTGGCCCATCCTTGCCAGGGCCTCACCCAATACCTTTGTAAGTCCACCTGCCTCTAACTTCTAACTTCATCAGGCACAGACCCCCTGGGAAATGTCCGTTGGCTGTCACCTGATGAGTGTTTGAACATCATCTATACAGTGATTCTCCACTTGACAGTTCAGGAGACTAAGCTTATGTGACTTCCAAAAGCCAGGCCATTCTGCATATTATTGTGTCTTTGGTCAGCTCCAAAGTTTTAAAACATAGAGAAACAAGAGAACATTGTCATCTGCAGAGTTTGTCTCCATCAGTACACTGTTTTGGGGGACTTGGGTGGGGGAACCATTATGGGGTCCCTGAGGTAGGATGTCTTAGTCCCCTGGTAGGCGTCAATGTGACAATGGTAAGAATGGTTTGCTCATCTTCATCCCATAAACCATAGTGTCTGAGCCTCGTAAAGCCTTTGAGGGCAGTCTGGAAGGCAGTAGTAACCCTGCTGCCGCAAAGCTTTCCGAGAAGCAAAGGGCATTCATCCATATTCCAAATAAATACCTGGCCCAGTAGTGAATATCCTAGTTCACAGCCATTTCCAACATATTCAAAATTTGTCTCCTGTCTCATCTCTCAAGATTTTGCCAGGGAATAGGTATCTTATCTGATTCCCATGTCCTATTGTGTGAGTGGATACTAATTGCTTCATCTTGTCCCCTCTCAGGTGGCATATAAGTATTTTTCAGAGGCCTTCTGGAAGTGTCCTTAAGGCAACGAACTCAGGTATTATCTGCATATGTTTCGACCGTGTATCCAACTATGTCAAAAGCTTCCACAGATCACCTGGTTCACATCTCTCAGCAGCTTAATGAGGAAGAAAGAAGCTTATTCCCATTTTACTGATGGGGAAATTGAGGCTCAAGTGACAAAGTGAGTTGATTAGAGTCATTCAGCTTATTACTGGCAGAACTGGGATTTAAATCCATGCTCTCCTGATTCCCAAGAATGTGGTCTTGATCTTTGAGTTATATGGCCATAAAAGAATAAATTTGGGGACTAGGTTGGGTGTCTCCCTCCTCCCTCCATCCAGAGGTAACCCCCAGGGGATCATCATATTCAAGGAAAGAGAAGGCACAATAGTGGGCCTCATGCCTGGTGCCTGGCCTCAGACAGCAGTTCAGTTGTCCTCGTAGTAGCCACACAAGGCCCTGCTGTCAACTCCATTTTGCCAGTGAGAAAAGTGAGACTCAGAGAAGAATTGACACTGCCTGAGACCACACAGTCTATGAAAAGCAAGACCCCACCTTGAACCTGCATTTCTGCCTCCAGGTCCAGACCCTTCCAGAACCCCCTGCATCTCCAAGCACACATGGGTGCCCGTCCCAGCGGGAAGTAGGAGGGCCACGCCAAGGACACGCCTGTTGTCATACATGTTGGAGGAAGTTCCAAAAGTTCTTTGGGATAGCTCAGGTGTGGCCAGCCCAGGGCCCTCCTCAGGGTCCCTGGGGACCTCCTCCTGACTTAGGCTTTTCCTGTTCCTCCCCAGGACAAGGACCAGAAGCTGCCTGGCCCCTCCCTTCCTGAAGGTTCTGCTTGGCTGGGAGGCCACAGGGCTTTCTCTACAAACAGCCACTTCCATCCATCTCTGTCTCCGAGGCCCAGGCCTTGACAGGGCAACGCTGACTTTGAGGAGGTTAAAGGTGCTGGTGCTCGGCCTTCATCTAACAAATGGGTTGCTGCAAGGGGAGGAACTGTTGTTGTTTTTTCCTGGCCTCAGAAGAAGGGCCTGTCAGGAAGATGTAGAGGCCGCAGGCCCCCGGCGGCGCCCTCAGGGGCTGACAGACGCTGGCAGCTGCTGGGGCGCCGGGGTGCCAGGGCCCAGTGCTCCCAGCACAGAGCGCCCTGCCGTGCACCCGCCCCGTGCCCCTCCTGACCTCTCCGCCCACCCCACCGTGACCCCGGCCCACCCTTTCCAGGGGCAAAGGGCCAGGCTGGGGGGGGCCTCCCTGGCTTGGGGTCCCTGAGCCAGATGCAGAGGTTGGAGCAGGAATCCGGTTACAGCCTGCCAGGCCAGGCCCCAGGAAGATTTTCCTAGGGAAGCTGACAGGCCAGATCCTCCTCACAGCCCCACACGGATTCCTTACAGAGCCCCCCAGGACCTCACAAGGCTGTTTTCCTAGAATTTCCTTAGTTTCCCTGGTCCCATGCGCTCCCTCAGAATCACCCAGGTTTGTTTTTTGTTTTTCTTTGTGGTGCTGGGGATTGAACCCAGGGCCTTGTGCATGCAAAGCAAGCACTCTGCCAACTGAGCTATATCCCCAGCCCAATCACTCAGGATAATAGGACTTAGATCGTGATAGAAAAGAAGCCCCTTAGCCATTGCCCACTCTGCCCTCACATAAGTGGGGTGGCCTTTCTAATAGAGCCCACACTGGCTTCCTGGGTTTGAATCCTGGAGCCTTGTCTTCCCAGATGTGCAACCTGGTTCAGGTGGATAGCATCTCTCTGTAGTTCAGCCTTCTGGGAAAGAGATGATGAAAATAGCCCATGCCTCAGAGGGCTTTGGTGGGGACCCACTGGGGTAATATGGGTAAAGTGCTAAGATTAATGGATGAATATTGGCTAGGACTATCACCCCACATGAGGAAACAAAGAATTAGATGGGTGGGGTGACTTCTCCCAGGACACACAGCTGGAAGTGGCAAACAGCAAATTGGACTTGGACCTATCTTATCTCAAACCCTACATCCCTTCCTTATATTTGTCCTGCTCTAAACTAGATAGCTGAACACTCAAGAATGACTCTGGAGGAGCTGGGGATATAGCTCAGTTGATAGAGTGCTTGCCTCATACACACAAGGCAGGGTTCAATCCCCAGCACTGGAAAAAAAAATGACTCTTAGTCCTGCCATTTTAGCTGAGTTTGAGCAACTGAGTCATCTGATTGAGCCTTAGTTTCCTCACCTGCAGAATGAAATCACAATTCATACTTTACCTACAACAGGAGAATTTGGGTCTTAGAGGAGAATTGTGTGGGCAACGGCTAAGCCCTGGGCAGATGAGAGAGTTCGTGGCTGTGACCTACCCTCTCCTATATATCACCCTAACTGCTAGTTCCATTAGAGTGGGTATCTTCTCATGAATAGTGTGGATGTGTGCACACCTCACCCCACATCCTTTTGCAGCATTTCCTGTGCCCTGGGATGCACATCTGACTGGAGTCTAGGTTAAAGACTAGTTGTAGCTTCTGCTCCCTACCCCAGGCCCCCTTGCCCTCTTTCCAGACCTGTCACCCAGAGCACTTCCTGCACCTTTCCCCAGAGCGCTGCCTCCAGGCTGCAGAGCTAACTAAGCCCAGTGGCCCTCCTCGGGGGAACCTGGTGTCTTTGAGACAAACCAGGAGAGACACTGCTGTTCAGGTCCATGCCTGTTCCTGCCTCCCTCCTGCTGTTCTGTGCTGTGGAAATGCCCAGGGGAGATGTGCTCTGGTCCGGACATGTTTGGAACATTGTCCTTCGAGAAATTACATTAAAATTCTGAAAAGATCAGTAGGGCATGGCCATGTCAGTGGAATGGTGGCCAGTTGAAATGGCACTTGGGCTGGCCATCCTGCGACAGGCACCAGCCCAGAAGACCTATGTGACTGTCTGCCAAAGGAAGCCCCCTTCAGGGATTATTCAGGGGAAGAAGCCTTGAGTCCTATTTCCATGCTGTGGTTCCATGACCTCTGGCAGTTGAAAAGGGAAGCAGGTGGGGGAGGTTAAGGGACAGGGAGCAGGTGAGAAGGTTAGGGGGACAGGGAGCAGGTGGGGGGAGGTCTGGAGAAACTTCAAGGACTTTATTTAAGAGGCTTGCCTTTGCTATGGAGAAAAATGACCTGAAATCTCTCTAGAGAAGAGTGTGGCTAATTGGCATGTAAGTTAGAGGTTAAAAAGTGCAAGAAGAATCAGATGGCCTCTTTTAAAGCTGGTGAGAATGTCACTATGGGCAGGAAGAAACGAATTGGGGTTTTTTTGTATGTGTATGTGTCTGTGTGTCTGTGTGTGTGTGTGTGTGTGTGTGTGTCTTTCTTTATACCACAGACCATAGTGGGCCACTGAGACTTGCAAAAAAGATTTCTTTTAATCCACCTTCCTTTTTGCAAGCAGCAGTAGAAGGGCCTTTAAATCAAATGCAATCACCAAGCTTGTCTCTTGTACTTATTCCCCACTTCACTCCCTGGAATTTGGCATTTGATGGATTCTGGATCTGACTTAAGGCTTTTTCCAAATCCAAGACTTGGGGAATTTTGTTAACAGTGCAATAAAAATAACTTTATAATGTTACAAGAGGCACACTAAAGACAGCATGTGTGTGTGTGTGTGTGTGTGTGTGTGTGTGAGCATGCGTGCGTGCGTGCGCTGCTCTCTCCTTAAAAAAAAAAAATACAGACAATGTTTCTTTAAAAGTCTCCATCTGCAAATCCCATTAGATGTGCATATAAGGTTTCTGATGATTAATAGTTGCCTGCTCGGGTTTTGGTTGGAGGGGACCTTGTGTGAGCGGGTTAACCCCTCCCTCTCCTCTCTCACATTTCACTTCAGAAATTTGTCACTCTCTCCCCACCACAGGATTTAAAAGTGTGTCTCAGCAGCCCTGGTCAGCCCTCTGCAGGCATTTGCTTCGGGCTCCAGGACCATCTCCTCCTCGCTGGTGCGTCTGGGCTGGGACAGTGAAAATGTTTAGTGCCATCGGCAACAAATACATGTACAAGGGACCCCAATAGGCAGGGTGGTGTGTTGGGGGACTGGAAGCAAGCAGTGAAGCCCGACACAGATGTGCACACACACGTGTGTGTGTCGCTGGCCACATGTGTGTGTGATTTCAGAAGAGACTTTAGTTTTGTTTTTGTTTTGGTTCCTGGAGTGAATTTGCTGTTGAACATTTCCCCTCCTATTGAATTTTGTTTTTGTTTTTGCATTTTTTAAAAAATTTCAATATAAAAAGTGTAAAGAGTCAACCTTTTGAAAGGACTGAGGTGGGCAGCAGACAGCAGATGGATCCCGTGGCCAGCAGCTGCATGAGGAGCCCCCACCCCCCTGCCCCTGTCTGGGGCTGCCTTCGAAACCCCCACTCGGAAGGCACAGGGGCCTCAGGGCTACCCCACTACCCGCCAACCCCATTCTCCTTCCACCAGAAATCAGACTTCCCAGCGACAGCTGCCTACCCCGACTTCTCGGCCTCTTGCCTGGCGGCCACCCCACACAGCCTACCCCAAGAGGAGCGCCTCTTCACTGAGCAGCACCCCGCTTTCCCGCAGCCTCCTGACTGGCACTTCCCTGTCTCCGAGGCCCGGCAGAGGCTCAACCTGGGCCCAGCTGGAGGCTCCAGGGAGATGGGAGCCAGCAGCCCAGGCCTGGTAGACACCATGGGAGGCCCAGGCGAGGACTACGGGGTGCTTGGGAGCACGGCCAGTGAGACGGAGAAGAAATCATCCAGACGGAAAAAGGAGGGTTCAGGTAGGTGGCACAGGAGTAGTCCATTCTTTTACTGTGTGACACTGAGGAGGTTGCTTACCCTTTCTGAGCCTAGGAGCCCTTATCATGAATTTCAAATAATACTATCTAATCTACCTGAATGCAGGAGACTTGGGGTTTCTTCCATTCTAGCAGTTTGAGGATTCTCTGGGGATGGGGGCTGTGTCTGTGTCCCTAGCACTCTTGTTCCTGGGAAGGATGTGCCAGCTAGAGAATAAAATGGGTTGAGCCAAGATTTGAAGGACACATGGGATGGCGCTTCTGGGTACAGACTGTCAAGGATCAGAGGGGGGATTTCCTGACCATTCAGCTGAGATCAAAGGTCAGAGGTTTAGGACTGAGGCTGGGACTCTGGGTGGCCCTGCAGAGCCACCCTACACCTCCAGGAAGCTATAGGCAAAGAAGCAGGCCCAGGGCGGGAATGGGAGAAGCAAGAGACAGAGACAGAAAGAGGACTGAGGTTTGGGGCTGATGCCCAGGAGGGATCAGGCTACAGAGCTGGGCTGTGTCCAGGCCAAGGGGACAGCTCAGCATGTCAAGGTCTGGCTGACCTTCAGGGAAGGCAGTGCTGCAGGGCCCTGCTGAGGGAGCGCCAGCCTTGGGAAGAGCTAGGGAGGCAGGCTGCTGAGGGCCCTGCTCTGAGCCTGGGAATTTGGGTAAAGCCCAGCTTGGGGATGGACCCCCGAAGCCTGGAGGATGGCGAAGGCCTTCTCCTCCCTGCTGTGGTTGTCCCTAGCCTCCCCCACAAAGTGCTCCCAGCTTTTCTCACTGCCCTTTCAACTTTTGCCTGGTCCCCCAGCCCCACAGCCCCACCTTGAACAAGGCAGTGTCCTGGCCTCCTGCCCCTGTCGCCTCGCTGCACTCCTTACAGCTTGCTCAGGGGAGACCTGCTGGTCTAAATGCATAAAGGACCTTCCAGGAGCTAAGCAAGGGCAGGCCAGGAAAGGAGCGCGCCAACAAGCAAAGGAGCACTCAGAGTGCTTTGCTTTATGCAAAGCTTTGGTCCTGGCACAGACTGCCTGAGCTTCTGCCTTTTGCCAAGCACACTAGGGGTGCTCAGATGAATAAAGTGGTCCTGACCTCAAAGAGCTCAAACTAGAGGAAGATCGACCTATAGAGGCCTGTCAGCAGTGGGATGTGCTCTGATCTAGAGTTCCAAGGTGTAGCGGAATCTTAGAAAGGCCATGGAGCTACACCCAGCCCGTTGTATTTTATTTGATCAAATTCATTCATTCATTGTATTTATTATTATTTATTTCATTTTGGTATTGAAGATTTAACCCAGGGGCTCTTTACCCCTGGACTACATGCCCAGCTCTTTTATTTTATTTTGAGACGTCCTTCTTAAGTTGCCTAGGGCCTTGTTAAGTTGCTGAGGCTGGCCTTGAACTTGCAATCCTCCTGCCTCAGCCCCCCCTCCCCCAAGTAGCTGAGATTACAGGTGTGTGCCACCATGCCTGGCTGTTATTTTATTTTAGAGACAGTGTCTCCCTAAGTTGCCCAGACTGGCCTGGAACTTGTGATTCTCTTGCCTCAGCCTCCCAAGTAGCTGGGCCTTGTGCATGCAAGGCAAGCATTCTACCAACTGAGCTATATCCTCAGCCCCAGACCTTCTTTTTTGAGTCCCACAAATATTTACAAAGTCGGGACAGCAGATTTTATTAGTCTCTCGATTTTGTATGTGTGGAAAGAAAAGGTAAAGTTTGAAGGGAATCCTGCAAGAACGGGGTCAAAACAGAGTGACCACCTCATCTCAATTTGCCCAGGATTTTTCTAGTGTTTGGATTCAAGGTCCAAAACCCCAGGGAAACCTCAGGGACCCAGGCAAACCAGGAGATTTGGTGACTCTGAATCTCACAGCCTGCAGCAGATTCGAAGCATAATCATCATTGGGAAATAATATTGGGTCCCCATGCTCGAAGCCCTGTCATGTGCTGACAGTGGGTGACAATAACCACAGCATGACCTCCTGGCTGCTATATAGACGGATCCTTTATATTCCCATGGCTAAATCCCCAGAGGCAGAGTTAACTATTCCTGTCCCTGGATGGTGATCTGCTGAGTTGGGCCACTTTGTGCTTCTGGAGCCCAAGGCATGCTCCGCCACTCGGCTGTGTGCCCAGTAGAAAAGTGTCCCCCTCCGTGGCGCCTGCTGTGCTGCTCCTCCAGCTCCGCTCACACCCCATGGCTGCAACCAGCCACTTTCCAGGGAACTGAGAGCCAAGGGCACTGGGAAGGATGAGCAAAGCCAAGAGCCTGCTGGGCTCAGGCGAAATCTTTCATCATCTGGAGTTTCAGCACAAGCTGAACGTGCTGTCTTCCTTTTGGCTAGTGGCTGAGGTCACTCCATTACAGAGTAGGCACACGTGCCAACTTCTGACCACCTGAATAGCACGTGGACACCCTCTGTGGACTGTCCTACACTCTTGATAAGGTCAACCTCTTGGTGGGAAAAGGTTCCCACTCAGGAGGGCCCCTGGGCTCTCCCCATGTGGGGTCCCTTCAGGAGCAATGGCAGGATTGCAGCGGCATGCATAGGGCCCAGCTGGCCCCAGGCTCTCTCTCTGTTCAGCAGGGAAATATTTATTGCCCAGATGCTAGAGTCTTCATTTGGAATTTAACTGAAGGAGAAGAAGGAGGCAGGAGGGGTCAGCTTCATAAGAGCCCAAGGAAGGGAAAAATAATGAGCAGGACTCAACCAATTCCAGAATATGGAATTCAGCTCAGAAGGGACAGGCCCACAAAGAACCCCCATGCCACCAGGCTGATCTGAGTCCCTGGCAGAGGCTCTCTCTATTTTAAATTTTAATATTTTAGTCATATGGAATTTGTTTTGGTGCTGGGGATGGAACCCAGGGCCTTGTGCCTGCTACACATGAGCTCTACCACTGAGCCACATCCCCTCACTATGGATTTTTGCATTAGTTTTGATTTTTTAAAAGCATCTCATTAGCTGGGGAGGTAGCTCAGTGATAAAGTGCTTGCCTAGTCTTTGGAAGGTTCTGGGTTTGATTTCCACCATTGCAAAAAAATAGATGATAATAATTCAAATTATTGTATTGAAACATTATTTGTCTTGATTATTGAGATTTTGGGTGCCCTTTAAATTTATGCTTTGCAAGCTGGGTGCAGTGGCACACACCTTAATCCCAGCTGCTCGGGAGGCTGAGACAGGAGGATCGTGAGTTCAAAGCTGGCCTCAGCAATGTCGAGGCACTTAGCAACTCAGTGAGACCCTGTCTCTAAATAAAATACAAAATAGGGCTGGGAGTGTGGCTCAGTGGTTCAATTCCTGGTTTGAACTCAGGGACACTCAAAAAAAAAAAAAAAGATAAAAATTGTGCTCTGCAAGAGTGAGTGCCTCGCCCTAGTCCCAGCTGGGCCATCTCTGGAAGGTCAACCAGCATTGACCACAAATATATCTTTCCATAATGTTTCACTGTTGAACTGACAGGTGACAATGTCAGCATCCAACTTTTGGATGGGAGACTTTGAGAAAATTAACTTCTTGCAGCCTCCACTTCCCCAGCTGTAAGATGGGAATATAACAATAGCACTTTCCTTTAGAGACTCTGTGAAGGTTAAATGTGCCGATCCATAAGATTAACACTGGGCCTGAGTCTTAGTAAGAGTTTAATAAATAGCAACTGTAAATGTATTAGGCCCATATTTCCTGAATCAGCCTTCAGAATAAGGGGTGTGAAAGATAGTGCTATACTTACTGGGAGATTGGAATTGAATATCTCAAATACACTGTTTCAGAAATTTCTGAGCCTGGGGCATAGACATGGGAACTACTTGCAATTATTTTGCCCTAAAATCCAATTGTCTTCACTTAGGATCTTGGAGCTCAGAGATCTGCCAAAGGGGTTGGGGGAAGGGAACCAAGTTGTACCTGGCAAATGTGTTCCATACTGGCTGGCCCAGGAGGCCCAGTAACTGAAAGTGTTTACAAAAAGAACATTCTCTGCTCTGCCCTCTCCTTCCTCAGCCATCTTCAACTGCTCCCCCTTTGCCCCCACTGGAAGCTGGCTCTGATTTGCTGCAGTAAATGATCAAAAAAGGCGGGGAGGCGGGAGGGCTCCCTGGCCCTCCCCCACCCGAGGCATTCTGTTGGTTCACAGCACGAACCAACTCAGGAGGATCCAGGCGATGTTATTCCATCAACCACTCCCAACCCGGGGGCCAGTGGGTGTTAAAGACCCCTGCTGACAGGGACAGCTGTGAGGCCACTGTTGTTTTCTCCCAAACTATCCTTGCTACTGTGGTCGTCTTTTATTTATGGGGATGAGGGATTTCGCAGCGATTTCCTGATGGGGTTCAAGGGAAGGTTGAGTGTGATCAGCCTGGCTGCAGGCGAAGCAGCTCGGAGCCTGCCGCGCTGCGCCGTGGCCACCACTGTAGGCTCTCTTCCCCGCGCTCCGCGCTGTCTTCTTCGGACTCGCTCTGTCCCATCCTCCGTCCCATCCTCCTTCAGCTCCAGCTAGTGCGCTTCCCTGGGGCTCCTCTTACCCGATTTCCTTTCTCCAAGACCTGATCTCCACCTGCCCCTGCCCAACTACGGAAACCTGCAAATGTGCCAGAGGTTAAAGCAGTCCACAAATTGATCCCTCTCTCGCGCCCTTCTCCACCCGATCTCCCTCTAGGACGGGCCACCTCCCCACCTCCACCTCCACTCGCGGTGTCACAAAGCCACACCTTGTGCTGGCATGGAAAATACATCCTACTTTCCCCTCCTGCCTGACTGCTCTGGCTGTTTGCATTCAAGAGTTCTCCAGCCTGTTGAAATCCTAAGTATTCAAAAACGCAGCTCAAAAGCTACCCCTTCCAAGAGTATCCCCCCTTTTTAAAAAATTTATGACTATATGTGTACATAGCATCATATAAGTGAAAACTACAGTCAAGGACCGGGCGCCGTGGCTCACGCCTGTAATCCCAGTGGCTCGGGAGGCTGAGACAAGGAGGCAAGAGGAGGGTGAGTT